CCTCTGTGTGGCCCTCCTGGTGATGCCCTGGAAGGCGGTCACCGGGGTGGCCGGCGGCTCCTGGCTCTTCGGCAGCCGCTTCTGTGACACCTGGGTGGCCTTCGACATCATGTGCTCCACCGCCTCCATCCTCCACCTCTGCATCATCAGCCTGGACCGGTACTGGGCCATCGCCAGCCCCTTCCGCTACGAGCGCAGGATGACCCGGCGCCTTGCCTGTGCCATGATAGCCGTGGTCTGGGCCCTCTCCGTCCTCATCTCCTTCGTCCCGGTGCAGCTACACTGGCATAAAGCTGAGGACGTGAGATACCCAGGCTCCTGGCTGCCTGGGACGCCCCGCTGCGACGTCAGCCTGAACCGCACTTACGCCATCACCTCCTCCCTTATCAGCTTCTACATCCCCGTGGCCGTCATGATCGTCACCTATACCAGGATCTACCGAATCGCCCAGGCCCAGATCCGCCGCATCTCCACCCTCGAGCGAGCAGGGGGACAGTGGTCGGCTCACGGCAAGGAGCCCACCTCCTCTTTGCGGAGTTCCCTGCACAAGGAGACCAAGGTGCTGCAGACCCTCTCCATCATAATGGGAGTCTTCGTTTGCTGCTGGCTGCCCTTCTTCCTGCTCAACTGTCTGCTGCCTTTCTGCCAGCCCGAGCTGGAGAGTGACCGTGAAGGACAGTCACCCTGTGTTGGCCAGACCACCTTCAACATCTTTGTGTGGTTCGGCTGGGCCAACTCCTCGGTGAATCCGGTGATCTATGCTTTCAATGCAGACTTCAGGCGGGCTTTCAGCAACCTGCTGGGCTGCCGGTGCTACTGCTGCGGCACACCCAGGTCCACTGTGGAGAGGGTCAACTTCAGCAACGAGCTGGTTTCCTATCACCACGACACCACCTGCCAGAAGGAAGGAGCTGCCTCATCGTCGGCCCCCCCGGCTGCCGTCGCTGCCTGGGTGCAGCCTCTACCCCACGCCGTAAGCCTTCAGGGGGAGGACAGCAGTGAGGAGATGTCTATGGAGAAGAGGCCTGTGACTTCTCAGGTGCAGGCTGCCCCCAGCATCAGCCCCAAGAGCCGTCAGGTGCCAGCCATTCTGCAATCTGACTGTAAGGCAGAGCTGTCCCAGGAAACTATTACCCCCCGTATGGGGCTTGGCCGGTGCGAGGGGCCCCATCACCCTGTTCCAGAGGGATAAGTGATTTGAGTGTTTCTCACACACGCAGCCATCCCACGGGGAGAGTCCGCTCTGCCTGCACATGCGATACGGCCATCCCCCAGCAAACAATGTCCCATCCCCGAGGGATGGGGACCTGCTGCTCGTACCCTAGAGCGGTGATGGGTGTGTGAAGTCCACCCCAAAAGCAGACAGCAACCACATATTAACCTCTTCCCATGGCCACCTTCACCCCTTACTCTCTTTCATAGTCAGTAGGCATTTCCCATGCATTTGTTCACCCTCACGATTCAATCAAACTTGTGATATTTATTAATAATAGTAAGATAATTAAATCAAAATAAAAACAACTCATAGTTTGAGACTCCATCATATTATCTGACATAGATAAGCTAATCTTAGATTTAGCTTCATTGCTAAAAGCTATTTTTCCCCCATCTCATGGTTTCACATCATACAGGTGCGCAGTTCTGGTCTTAAAAGGTTTGTGTTTGGTTTTACTTCTGTGTTTATTTCAAAGCTGCCTCTCTGGATTTACACGTCTGAATCTGTGTTTAGGCTCTTAAATAAAAGTTGCTCTGTTGAAACATCACT